TTACCTACTACTACACACACACACACACACACACACACACACACACACACACACACACACACACACACTTCTGGCTTAGTACAGCTATTGTATTCACTTTAAGACAGGTTACTTGTGCATTTTGAAGCAGAAAGACGCAAAGTTTATTACCTGGTTTGATAACTCCATTTTCTCCCAAACGGTACTGGAAAAGCAGAAAGTAAACCGGGGCCAGAGGTTTGCTTAAAGTTCACTTCAGATGCATAAAAACATGTATACCCACGTCCTTCTGAGATCCTTGCTTCTAATGAGTTCCATATTCTGCAACCCACTTCCCGGCATTTGTTCACAGAAAAACCAACACAAGAAATTAAAAGAGAGATGCAGAAACTTCTTTTGGCAGAAGGGCCAGTGAGGTTTTCATACCAGCAAAAGAGAAAGGCACCTTTACAAATGGCAGGATAGAAATATAAAGAACAAGACTTGCACCGACTTCACAGGGAATTTTGTTGAAGAGCAGGAATGAGCACTCAATTAGTTACTCTACCGTTCCATCACCCAAAGACCGCACACCTTTTCTGTCCCCTATATAACACATTAGGAATGTAACCGGGTGCATGTTTGACCCTACCAGGCCACAGGGCTTACTGATTTAATAGCTGCTGATTGCAGTGGGTCTACTCCTAGGATGGCTTGCAGAATCAAGCCCTAAGAAGTCACCCACTACCTCTCAATTCAGAATAGGATTAACTATCACAGCCTGGTTCTAGCAGAAGATCCTTGCCACGGAATATTCCAAGGACATGGTGCAAGGTGTTTGGTGGCTATATTCTGCCTTTGGAATGTGTGCGCTATGTCTGCTGACATCAATGGAAGTTGTGTCATGCATATCCAAGGGCAGAATTTGGCCCTCGAAGTCCCTGGGTGGCCTATGACCTCATAACACAATAATCATAACCTTCGATTGACATCGAGTGACTGTCTCATTGGCCAAGCGTTAAAAAGAAAGATTGAAATGCTCCGTGCAAATTTGACATATAAAGGCATGGAGCAACCAAGTCAAGCAAAGACTTAGACAACCAAACATCTTTAATCCATGGCAAATCAAAGATTTTATTTTTCAGGTGGAGAATTACAGGCATTTAAAAAAAAATTAAAAAGGTCTTTCCTTGCAATTGCCAGTGGCCCTTTTGGTGAATCACACTGTGATACTCACAGAATTTACTGACTCCATGAGCCTTAAACCCAGACAATCTGTTTTTGAAGTCACTGTTACACCCAAATTGGAACTCTCCCTCATCTAGTGTTACTATTGTTTTTATTTTGGATGCAAGATCTATTTAGAAACTTCCAGGACCTTCAATTAAAAGGTGCAAAAAAAAAAGATTCTTATTCCCACATCTAATTACAGGGCAGAACAAGTTTAAATTTCAAATTGTAACAAATATAATTTAAAATACTAATTAGCCAGCAATAGACATTTGCCATTTCAACAGTCAGAGGATAACAAAGAAAGACGTAGGTAAGCATTTTGGGGTAGGGACGATGGCTTTCTTTAGTACATTTTGGGTGCTACCACAAATGAATAAATAATAACAAGAGAGAGTAGTTTCCACCTGAATTCTATCTGATTCTAGAAATTTCATCACAAAACTTCCCACAATCCCAGGAAAGAGCAGATTGTAATGCCGGAAATTTTGAAATTTCATTTGTTTCAATGAAAAAAAAAATCAATCAATCTTGGCCAATTTTTTTAAACCACCTGATTTCAAAGTTTCAGTCATTTCTAGATTTTTTTCCCCCTTGACAAGGGTTCATGTTTATTCCTAACGTGCAAGAAACAAAATTTAGCAGCTTTTTTTCCAAAGTTAATTTAATTTCACCAAATGGAAGCGAAATGCAAAGTTTCAAGATTTTCAAGCTGTTGCTGTGAATATTTTAGCCAACCTTGAACAGTAAAACGGCTGTTGTCACTGAAAACACCATTCACATGATTCCCAGCTTCAGAGATAACGAAAGGGTGACATAGCTTTGAAAATTCATTTGCTATGTAAGGTATATCTACAACAATTAGAGCCAAATTCTACTGCCATTGACATTAATGTACACTGATAGAATTAGGGTCTAAATCTGGAGTGAGTGCTCTGTGTGGATGGAAAGTTCTGCATTTACACCAGAGTACATGAAAGCAGAATTAGAAACTGATTAAATAGCTGTGATTCTGACCGCTGTTCATTTCAAAGTTTACCCCGTGAGCAGCAGGTAACTTTTTAACTCTCCTGCTGCCCTCTGCCAACTCATAGTAGATCCTTAATATACCTTTCACATCTAGTACTTCTTACCTTTTCACAGTATTCTTCTTAAACAAAATACATGACTGGACTGAGAAGGACTAAAAACTTTAAGAGACTGTTCCTGCAAATTCAGGGATGGCTGAATGTTCTTTTAGTTGAAAAAAAAATACCACTCTTAACTGAGGAAAGAAACGTAATGTTCCCGTCCTTTGGTATTTACAGTACTTCAAAATCCACCTGCCAGTGTAACAGAAAAATGTGTAACTGAAAGGCTGGACTGGCTAAGTGAGGGAAAATGCACTCTACAAAGACAGAACTACCAGCACAAAAACCAAACGACAGTCCAGTGCCCAGATCTTCAGCTGACCTCAGTCATTGTAGCTTCACTGAAATCAACAGAGCAATGGTGATGTATATCAGCCGAGGTTCTGAGCCTTAGACTTTCAGAACAGCGGGCAGATGGGCTGTCGTCTGTTTCAAACCCTCTTCCCTTCAGTTAGGACTAATTCCTCCCCCTCTTTCCTCACAAAAATACCTGTATCCAGGGCCGGCTCCAGGCACCAGCCCACCAAGCATGTGCTTGGGGCGGCGCCTGGAGGAGAGCGGCGCGGCGGGGCGCTCCGGCCCGAGAGCGGGGCCCCGGCCCGTCTCGCCGCCCTCCCCGCGGCGCTCGGGCCAGTCGGGGAGAGCGGGGCCCCGGCCGGGCTCGCCGCCCTCCCCCCGGCGCTCCGGGGGAGGGGCGGGGGCGGCGGGTGGCTTTTTTGCCTAGGGCGTCAAAAAAGCCAGAGCCGGCCCTGCCTGTATCTACAACAATCTGAATCTGTAGCAGCTTATCCTTCATTAATACTCTGTGCGATACAAGGGACGGGCCAAGGGTTAGTTATATGGCACATCTGTGCTTCAAAAGTGCAGTCAATGCTCCTGTTCCTCTCTCAGTCATCAGAAGGAGCGAAGCACACGGCAGACACTTGGGCTTTTCCTCATGGTTTCTGTATGAAGAGAACATCTCTATTTCCAGTGGGATGGCACAAGTCATTTCACCCTGAGGCTGCAGGGCCCAGTTGCTCATAGATCACTATGAAGGGACCACTGTGAACATTTAGGCTGACCTCCCGCATAGGACAAGTCAAAGAACTTCCCGACCTGATTCTAAGATGGCTGCTCTCACCACCACACCGTGGCCACAAGTTGTACTCTGGTCCTTATCTCACGTGGTCTTCTGGCACAAATTGGTGTGTGTCATTTCTATGTACATGCGAGCAGAGAATACACCTGGACAGTCATATCACAGAATCCAGCACTGAGATTGAACTATATCAGGGGACTGAATGCCCAAATCGCACTTTCACTGAAGCTCTGGCACAGTGAAGGCACCTTAGTGTGAGACTCAAGACCACTATCACCTTCTAAAGGTGAAGAATTAGGGAGGAGATATAATCAGAACTGGCCTGAATCCTTCCTATAGTGCTCCCCAAAAAGACATTTTTCAACCAAGTTAAAAAAAAAACTTGGTTCACTTTTTCCCCCCCTTCTATTTAAAAATTGCACAATTCTGTCCTTACTGGGTTTGGCTGGGCCCAGAAGTGGAAGTAACATATCAAAATATAATCAGAGAAGCTATAAGAAGGCTGTTCTACTCCAGCCAAACCCACGATGTATTGGAAATCTTCAAATGACGTCTGATCTTGTGAGATTTCCATCACTACTTCCAGAGGACTTAGGCAGCTTCTGAGCGTCTGCCTGCTTATCCTCATGGAACCACTCAACCCCTGGAGTTTTGCCACATTGCTTTAGGGAACCCGTAAATCCTTCTGGGAAGTAAACACAGTCCACATTGCAGCGTGGCTGTGGATGAGACCGATTCAGATCTCCGTTCTGTTGGTGTAAATCCAGACTCGCTCCATTTCTGGAAAAGATTTTATCAAGTGACACTGATAGCAATAAGCCAAGCTGGGGCATGCATCAATGGACCACAGGTACACCTCTCAGCTGGTGGTAGACTCCCATCGGAGGTGTGCACCCATGGCTGATTTAATGTGGCTCGCTGCTGTATCATGAGTCACTGGACAAAAAAATAAATCGATCAATAAAAAGGATCCTAAAAACAACAGCAGGCAATGTCTCTGCCTCCCAAAAAGCTGCGGAAATCCCAGGAACACAGGGCAAGCCTTAAAGGATGGCCACAAAATGAGATGAGGACACTGGTAGCCAGTAGTTTCCCTGCAGCCTTGGGATGAGAACTTTAAAAGGTATAACAGCTAGGTGTAAATAACACACAGTCAAATTCATCCCTGGTGGACCACCACTGGCTTCAATGAGGAATGAACTTTCCCTAATAGACCATAAGTCATCTATTCCTTGTAATAGGATATTCAAAGCCAGATCTAAATGTGTCTCCTCTCCTTTCTTGGCTTTGTAGAACTTCCCTTTGCTCTCTTGTTTTTGTACTGCTGCCAAAGTCATGTCCCAGAAACACACTGACAAATGTGGCTAGGGAATAGATATGCACAGGAACGTGTATTAGCTGGTATGGATAAATTAGCTGGCAGAGTTTTCCCTCTGGATTTTATTTGAGGTTCTGCTGCTCTCTGCTCTAAGGCCTGCACCGCAACTGCCTTGGGGAGATGAGGGGGGGGTACAGTAGGAATCGGTATTTGCAACATCAAAATGTTTTTTATCAAAGGGACGACTTGTGTAGTTGGGCCATGTGCACCGGACACGGGAAAGGAGTTATCTTCCCTCCCGGGCCGCTTAGTGGCTGAAGCAGCCTATGGTATATACCACACGGGCATCCTCGGTGAGCTCCTATGCTCTGCTTCCCACCAGGAGCAGAAGGGAAATAGGAGGATCAGCACTGTGGCCAGTTCCTTGGTACTTCCTCTGCCTGCTGCCATGTAAGGACTGTGCTCCTCCCCACCCATCTTCCATTGTTCGATTACATTCCATTAATGCAGCACAGCAGGCAGAAGTCCATGGGAAATCTACTAAGGAACAATCCTTTGCTAAACATCTTCGCTACTGCTCACACGTCGCAACACCACTTTCTCTCTCCTCTACGATGTTCAAAGGAAAGCATCAACATCAGCATTTGAGATGGGCAAAGGGAAGGCATCAGGACCATAACTGAGCTCTCGCTCGTCAGACTGCCAGGGCTGAAGGTCATTCTGCCGCTGGACTTTCCAGGAAGATTTCTTTCTTCGGTACCACTACTGGAAACATTTTTTACTAAAGAGGGTTTGTGCGACCAAGCATTGCACAGCAGCCATCTGCCCATAGTTCCAATACAATGGTGTCCTGGCCATGTCCACAATAAAAACTCAGTCAACAACTTGCAAAGGCAACAGTTTTGGGAATCAAAAAAACCCCACTGGGAAGGGGCAGACACTCTCCTAAGTGAAATCAACTGGCTTTATTGTATGGCATTGCAGGGGTTGGTAAGTGCTCTTTCAACTAGAGAAACACACCTGTCTACTGGGGAGACCTCAACGGCAGCCGTTTCTTCCCACTGAGGTGTGGGGGAGCAAGTCCAACTGCATCAGTTCTCCCGCAGAGCGCTGGCCTGTCAGAACGCCTCAAATTCCCTATTATCCACCTGCGCCACTAAAGGCTGAGCTGAAATATTAATTAGGAGATCTGATCTTTTTTTCACAAGAAACAATCTGGATTTCTTAGCAGGGCAAAAGGCCAACTGTGCAGACAAAGCTCTGTAGCACCTCCTTTGCTGCTTGTTAACTTTCATGCTTTCAAGGAAAGTCAACTAGGGGAGGAAGATACAGACTATAAAACATGTGGACATCAGGTCAGTTATGTCTCTTTCATATGCACTTCTCACCCCAGCCCTCCCACTATATAAATATGCACAACAGGGAGACAAGATTCCTTAGACCTAAACAGCCATAGCACGGCAATAAAGATTAATGAGTGGAACTTGCTACTTTATGTGAATCCAGGGGAGATTTCCATTCATTAATCTTTATTATTGTAGAGTAACTGTTTATACAAAAGGGGCCAGAGTCTCAGCTGGAGTAAATCAGTGTTACTCCAGCTAAATCAATGGAGTGACGCCAATTTATGCCAGCTGAGAATCTATAGTCCTAACGAGTCTCCTTCCCATTTTTAGGGGCAGGAGATTTTACTCCATTACTTGCACTAAATATTCTGCAATATTCCCCCCATGCACCAATAAGAGCAGACCAGTGAAGGCAACTGTTTGTCTTTATCCCTCTCCCAGTAACAAAACTGAATATAACTCACTGCTCGGTAACTGAAAGATGTCAATAAATCGGAGGAGATTCAATGAAAAGTAAAAATATGTAATTAAGAGGCTGGAAGGGGGTGATTTTTGAACGGGTTTGGGGGCATGCTAACCTAGGAGGGATGTGATGATCTCCATCTGCAAGCACCAAGGATGGTCCACGGGGGATGGACATCAATGGGATGGAAGAGGGGACCAGGAGCATTTTGACGTGTTTTTGCAGCAGGGACAAGAAATGGTGGGAGCCGTTCTGCTTGAGACTTTTACAACTACACTGGACCAAGCACTGGTGAACGGGCTGCAAGGATCCATGCTGCATTGGTAGGGGAATGGATAAGATGGCCTAGCAGGTCTTTCCCATCGATAATTTCTATGAAAGGTTTGAGGCAGACTCTTCTACTGAAGTAAACAGCAAGAAACACTGGCCATGTTTGCGTGTGTGTAAATGCCTTTGTGCTCCCTCTGCATTATATCAAGGAGATCCTCCCGCTCCACCCACTGCCTCCTTCTGCTGGAATCTATAGTGTAGACACAATCCTCATTTTACACCACATTTGGTGCTGAAGGGAACAAGGGTGGTGTTGGCATGACGCCTTTGTATTTGCACAAGGGCCTCCTTGGCTTGCTCCTGCGACAAAGAGTCCTGGACCATATCCTGGCTGCCCCTTGGTGGCTGTGCGAGGTGGGGAGGGAAAGGGGTGCAGGGAGCTCCTTCGTTACCAGTGCCCACATGCAGAAGGCTGCCAACTAGCTGAGCCAGGGCTTCTTGAGCACAAGGTGTAGGGCAGCAGCACTGTACACCCCACGACTGGGCGGACTGGCCTGGCTACAGCCCCCTCTCTCACCTGCCGACGTGCAACGGGGCACGTGGGAGAGTGCGTGCTTCCCCATTTAAAGTGCCACTTCTGAGCAACGCCCTCTCTAGTGCCCCCTGCCTCCACACCAGGTGGGCAGGTTGCCTCCAGACACTGCCGCTCCACCACCACAAACCCGGCCCCAGTGGGCGTGAGTTAGGAACGACTCCTCAACAGCCAGCGAACGTGGTAAAAGGAAGGACAACCATCATGCGGATCTCTGTTTAAAGTCTCGTGTGCTGCCTAGGAAAATCTTGTCCAGAACAAAACGGTGATTTGTCCTCAGCTCCAACAAAATCCTACCACACAAACAGCACCAACAAATGCACCCCAGCCCCAGCCTTCCCTCTGAGTGTGTGTGATGAAGTGAGGGACCTCTTGTGATGTCCAGAAATAGAGTCTTGGGAAGCCGCTGACAGAACCCTTTTCACCTTCACTGCATGAGCCAGACAATTAACTCTCAATACACTCATCTTGGTAGGCGTTATTATCTCTATTTTTACAGATGGGGAAACCGAGGCAGA